TTGGGGACAATGGGGCTCCAAGCAGCCTTCTCTCTAAACTGCCTTCATGGGTTTGAGGGATGTGAGGAAGCCTGGCGGGGTTTACCAGACTCCGGGGGTTTCCAGGGTTCTCCCACCTTGGATCTGACCATCTTAACACCAAGTTCCTGTAACCTCTAGGATGTCACCTAAGATGAGACTGTGGTCTCTCAACCCTTGGGTTCCAAGAAGGTGCTTTAGGGGTTGCAATAAGGTAGAGGAAGCTTGCTAAACACCCCCTACCCACGCCACTTCACCAGGAGGAGGAGCTCTGCATATATGCTTCCAGGTATGATTTCCTTTTGAAAAAAGATTTGCTACTAATCACACACACACACTCAGAGTCTGTAAAACATTGGTGTAGATGAAAGTGTTGGAAATTCTGGTTCTAGATCTTATATGAAGCTGACCAGGTTTGGCCACAGTCTCCTCATTTAGAAATACTAACATATGGAAATACCTTTCCAACCAGAGGATGATAAATGTCAAATTCTTCAAATCAATGTTCTCCAGCTCTAATGACTGTGGCCCAAGGAGCAGACACTCTGAGATTCTGACTCTAGAGCAGGTCTTGACAAACATGGCTTTAAAAAATTCCTAAATGGGTAGGAGAAATAATTAGGATTAACATATACATACTACTATATATAAAATGGGGCTTCCCTGTTGGTTCAGTGATGAAGAATCTGCCTGCGATGCAGGCGACATGGGTTCGATCCCTGATCTAGGAAGATCTCACATGCCACAGAGCAACGAAGCTTGTGTGCCAAGATTATTGAACTGGTGCTCTAAAGCCCAGGACCCACAAACTACTGCAGCCTCGAGTCCTAGAGCCTGTGCTCTGCAACAAAAGAAGTCACCACAATGAGAAGTCTGTGCACAACTAGAGAGTAGGTCCCATTCCCTGAAACTAGAAAAAAGCCTGTGCAGCAATAAAGACCCAGCACAACCAAAATAAATAGATAAACATTTTAAAGATATACCTTTATACTTTAAAAAAATGTATTTAGTTTTGTGTGCGGGGTCTTCATTTTCATGTGGGCTTTTCTCTAGTTGTGGTGAGTCGGGGCTATTCTCTAGTTGTGGTGCATGGGCTTCTCATTGTTGAAGCTTCTCTTATTGTGAAGTATGGGCTCTAGGGAGTGTGGGCTTCAATAGTTGTGGCACATGGGCTCAGGAGTTAGCTCCCAGGCTCTAGAGCTGGGAGTCCTGGTGTATGGCCTTAGTTGCTCCGGGGCACGTGGGACCTCCATCAGGGATCAAACCCCGTCTCCTGCATTGACAGGCAGATTCTTTACCACTGAGCCCCCAAGGAAGCCCCCCTTTATACTTTTTATAGGCTTTTATTGAGTGCTACTATGTGCACTGGTGCTAGGGAGATAAGTAGAATTACGATGTGGAGAAAAGGAAGAAAAGTTAACTCTTTACAGCAGAGAAAGTATGTGAATTAGAATCTTGGAATATTAGTGCTGGAAAAAATTATATAGGTGGGAAAACTGAGGTTCATGATGGGGAAGGAGCTTACCCAAGTACCACGAGTTAGAACTCTTAAATGGTCTTTAATCAGATTTATTAATGAGAAAATAGGAGCAGTCCTTAGCCTCCCGCCCTGATGGAGTGAAGACAAGGTGGGGGAAAATGGAGTCATCCTGTAAAAGGAAGCCAGGGAACATAAAGCAAGGTCCAGGACCTAGGTCCTCTCTGCCTCCCAGCTTAGATCCTTGAAGCCTGCCATCCCCTCACCAGGGGATGCAGGCAGGAAAAGAGGGAGATTGGCCTGTCCGATCCTGAGCCCTGCTAAGGAGGGTTTTCCAGAGCTTCACTCCAGAAACTGACAATGGAGGGATAGGAATTCTCTCCTGTTAGTTGTATCTCGCAATGCGTTTTTGGCCATGTGGCTTCGCTCCTCAGTTTTGCCATCTCTTAAAGGGAGTTATGGTCCCCGCCAAGTCGCAGGCGCAGATGGCAAGAGAATCTAAAGAGACCAGAGGCAAGGTTATTTGTACCCGGCTTTTCCTGAAAACAGATTCCGTCCCCCTCCCCCAGGACCTGTCCCAAAGAGGCGTCTGGAAATTCAACAGAGCCAGCCAGTCTGGGAGTTAAACAATCGGCAGCCGACGCGGGGATCTGCCGAGACAGAACAGCTATTCAGACGGCGGGGGCGGTGAGCGGGGGCCGCGCAGTGACACGTGGAGGGAGCAGCGTTGCACACGCGTCCCCTCCCGGCCCTCACCCGTTGCCATGGCCGCCCCCACCCCACCTCGCCGGGCGTCCCCGGCTTTTCCCTGTTCGCGGTCGCTGGAGAGCGGAGCGTGTCACGTCCAGGAAGGACGAGTTGGCTTGCGGCGGGGCCGGCATCAGGCTCCGGCTGGCAGCGGCCCTTTGGCTCCGGCCACGCCTCCGGCGGCGCCACATTCTGGGTCGGGTGCGGCCGCCAGTCCCGAGTCGCTCCTCGGGCCGGGGTGCCTGCGCGCCTCCCAGCCATACGTGGCGCTCCCGGGGCGGCAGCTCACGGTCGCAGGGCGCACGTCCGTCACTGGCCCCCTTTGTCAGCGCCGGACACTTGCTCAACTTGAGTTGGCGTCTTGGGGGCCGAAACCAACGGGGAAGGGGCTCAAAAGACTTCCGTTGGGCCCCCCACCCCGCCTCTGCTGTCCCCGGTGGGGTTCCAGAGCAGAAGCAGTTCCTTCGCGCTTGGGTGACACTCCGCCTGCCCCAAGGGTAACACTGCCTGCTCATATGAACCAATCGTAGAATTGACTGCAGGATAGCATTGCCTGGTGGAGCAGGGTGGAGAGAGCCTAAGGTCAAACCTTTGTGTTTTACTGCTGGGGAAACAGAGGCTCAGAGAAGGGGGTGGATTTGTTCAAGGTCAAGGTTCCAAGGTAAGTTACTACCCAGCCGGAATTGGGACCTACGTTTTCGACGCCCAGCCCAGGGCTCTTTCTTCAGCACTCTCCTACCTACATTAAATTAAATCACACCCACCCTGGGGCTAAGGACAGTCAGACTTTTTGCCAAGAGTGGCTTGGCTAAATTAGTGAAATGCCAGAAAAATGGAAGATTTCTAATAAAAGCTGTCTCCAGGGGCCGAGAAGATCTCACCCACTGACTCCACAAATCACCTGCACAACCTTGCTGGATGTTTGCCGCCTGGCAACAGAAGGCGGTCCAACACCTCCCTCCCAACCCCCTCCCCTGCTCCGGACTCAGACACAATAGCATTTTCTTCTCTGGCACTTGGAAGGCGTGGAGATGTCCAGAGACCTGATTTGACCTCTTACTGCCTGTTTTTTTTTTTTTTTTCCTCTAACTTAAAAAATGCCCAGAACTGGGAAAGTGGGAGTAGGAGGTGGGTTTGATTTTTCTACTATCTTGTACTTGATGGGGTTCTTGCATTCTACCCACAGGCAGTTCTCAAACTGTGTCCCAGAGTTATATTTAGACGTCCCTTCATTCCCAGTCTTTATGAAGGGCTAATTTAGCTATTATCCAAGCACACCATGGCAGTGTTTCAAACCGCATCAAGGAGGACCTTTTGTATGTGAGTCCCACATCAAAAGTATTGAGTAGCTCTTCCTAGGTCCTTGCCCTGCCCCTGAAGAGTTCAGAGAGGAAATGGCCAGCTGTGTCTGCTGCAGTAGATTGAAACCTTAACCTGATCGAGATTTTCTTTGGTTAGGAAAATCCAGAGTGAGAAACTGAGAATGTCAGCTGAGAACCCGGATCATCTCTCAACATGTGTGTGGTTCAGCACATCACTCAACTCCTCTAGACTCTTCTCCTTCCATCCCCTTGGGGAAATGCTCCATCTTCTCACCTATTAAAGAAACACCATCTCATCTCATACTGTGATGACAGATCTCAAAATGCTTTCAGATGACTAATCTATGCCCACAGCGGGGGTGCGGGGGTGGGGGAAGAGGCATGTCTAATCTCCAGATCTCTGTCATGCCTGTGTACATGATGTATACATGTACTTTCCCAGACGGCTGCATCGGTGCCCCAGAGGTGACTTTTGGGGTTACCTCTCAGAGAGGTAACTTGTCAGAGACCAGCTGGGTTGTAACACTTGGATCGAGCATGCTTGGTCTGAGGGTTTAAGGATCTTAGGTCTTTCACTTCTCTGTGCCTCTCAGGCATTGGGGCCCAACTCCTGAAGTGGGGTTGGGGTCATCACAGACTCTTAAATAAGGAAGCTTTCTTCAAGATTACCCTCTCATTTTGGAGCAATTCCATAATTATTTATTTGTATATTGAGTACCTATAAAGATGAGATAATCCAGACAATTCTCTTCCTTCAAAAGCTCACAGTAGGCCGATACATGGAGGAAGTGGTGCTTGAGCTGGGTTTTGAAGGATGGACAGTTGGCCCAGAAAGGTAGGTTGTGATAGAGGCTGGAGTTAGGACCTGTTTTCTAGGCTGGTGTTCTTTACACATATGGTTACTGCTTCTGTCATCATTTAAAAAAAATTATTTAAAAATATTTTAATTTATTTATTTCATTATTTATTTGGCTGCACTGAGGCAAGCAGGATTTTCTATCTTTGTTGCAGCATATGGGATCTTCTTTTATTCTTAATTTTTATTTAGTTAGTTATTAGTTTTGGCTGCACTGGGTCTTTGTTGCTGCACACGGGCTTTCTCTAGTTGCAGCGAGGGGGCTACTCTTCATTGCGGTGCATGGGCTTCTCATTGCCCTGGCTTCTCTTGTTGTGGCTCATAGGCTCTAGGCCTTCAGGCTTCAGTAGTTGCAGTGTGGGTTCACTAGCTGCGGCTCGTGGGCTCTAGTTGTGATACATAGACTTAATTGTCCCATGGCTGTGGAATTTTCCCAGACCAGGGACTAAGCCAGTGTGCCCTGCACTGGCAGGTAAATCTTAACCACTGGACCACCATGAAAGTTCTTTTTTTTTTTTTAGTTGCAGCATGTGGAATCTTTAGTTGCAGTGTGTGAACTCTTCATTGTCGCATGGGGGATCTAGTTCCCAGAAGGCCTCCTGCAGTGGGAGTGTGGAGTCTTTGCTATTGGGCCATCAGGGAAGTCTTTGTTTCTATTATCTTGAGATGACTTGGTAGGGAAGCTGGAGACCTGAATTCCTAGCAGCCTGCAAAGGAGCACCAAGGCAGCAGTCTGGGAAAGGCCATTCTTATGTTCAGCCTTGATCCAGTATCCATCAGAAGACCAGTGGTGTCTGGGCAGTAGGAGGAGGAAATGATAGACAGCCTCACAGATGGACTGTGCTAGGCAGCAGCAGTGGAGATTTGAAGCCTTCAAAACCTTGGCATCTCCTGGAGGAAAACCATGATCAAGTTGTTCCATTTCTCCTAGGCAAAGAAAGGAGAGGTAGTTTCCATTTCTCTTTCTACTCGTAGGCACCACAAGGATAACCTGCTGAATCTGAGCATTAGACTCTTGATTATTTGACTGTGGCTTATCTACTAGTAAAGAAGCTATTTCCCAGATCCCTTGGTCTCTGCCTTCTGGCATGGGTGTTCAAAAGATGCAAATATCTTAGCATAAGACAAACCCAACTCAGAATGGCAACATGCTGCATTAAACACATGCTTATAGAATGAATATCTAGTAAAAATGAAGTTGGAACCTGTTGCTGTTTTGGATTAGTCTCTATATTGCTTCCTCTACTTTAAAATATGAATGGATTAGAATTTTCATATTATTTTGAAAGACTAAAATGAGAGAAATACCAATGTAACAGAGCGCGGTGAGTGCAGGCCATAGCTCACAGCCATTGCTGAGCATCATCACTGGCACCCTGTTACTAGGCAACGGGTCCTGCTCAGTCATTGGTCAGTGCCTCAAATGGGCCCCACCCACTGGCAATCAACAGTCAAGAAATGACAGTGAGGAGATTCAGACAACAGTAGGGTGGTGGTTGTGAGGTGGGGAGTGAAATAAGAGGCAGATCCTGGCCTTCTCCCAAGGCCCTCCTGCTCACCTGGCCTTGGGCCAGTGGGTGAGCTGGGGGGCTCAGAGAGCAGGCTTGGGACTGTGTCCTGTAGGGACACAGAGCTCTGTGTCCAGAGCCCTCACCAAGGCTACCCACTAGCCTTGGCCCAGGCCTTGAGGCAGCAGTGATGAGTCTCCCCCATCCTTGTCTCTGCAACCTAATAGCAGTGGCAGTCTGCCTGGGTTGCAGTCTGTGGGACCTTGTCTCCTTGCCTTTGGGCAGCCTGCGGAGCCTGAGGGCCAGTTGGGTTGGGCGCCTGCCTCCTTCAGCAATGACAACTGGGCAGGGTCTGGGGACCTGGCCCTGAGGAAGCTGCCAGCTGAGAGCTGCCTCCTCTCAACCAGGATGGGGACCTTGAAGGGTAAAAGTTGTGCCTTGGGACCTGGCCCTTTCTTGTCAGGACAGAGAATAATATTCATTTGGTAGAGATTTACAGCTACATCGTTATTTGACCATGACCTGACTTCAGGAACAAAGGATCTGATACCAAGAAATCTGCAACAACTAATCACACCCCTCCCTCACTTTTGCTTTTAAAAGGGCTATGATGAAAGCTTTCAATAACTTTGGGGTTGTTAAGACATGAGTCACCCATCTCTTTGCATGGCCCTATAATAAACCTTTCTGTGATCCAAACTCCAACATTTTAGCATTATTTGGACTGATTGTGCATTGGGCACACTCACCTGCACTGTTTGGTAACATCAATATGCAAGTGGAAGGATGAGAAAGGAGTGCTCCAAGGAGGTTCTGGAACTGACCTTCCAAGGGTCAGCTCTGCTATGAACTTGCAGTGTGGCCTTGATTGGTCACTTCTCTCCAGGAGTCAGTTTCCTCACTTATAGAATGAGGGCAGAGACTCCAGGGACTATGAAACATGGAGTTTAGTCCTAGAGAGCTCAGACTCAGAAACTGAAACCTACCTGTCTGACTTTATCCCCTGTCATGTGGAAATGTCTCCTGGTGACTGTCCTGCACATCAGTCTAGAACACAAGAGCAAAAGTGGAGGATGAGAGTCTGAGTCTGGGGCCCAGGCCTGGGTGAGCACAGGCGGTGAGCTCAGGGCCGGGCAGAGGGGCTGTGTGATCGTAAGACAGCTGGTCGGGAGGGAGGTAGGGGTGGAGGCAGAGGGGTTGGAGACGGTTCTGCGAGTTGCTTGTTAGGTGGCCTTGATGGATCCTGCTCTCCTGTCATTCTCACAACATGTGATTCAACAGATGGGGCAGCTCTCAGGATTCTCTAGAATGGGTCCCCAAATATGGTGGAGTTTTCAGATGCTCCACCGTTGGTCTACTGAGCTGAAGTTCCCAGCTCTCTCCTTGACCCTTCCGTAGGGTCTGGTAACTTGGATCATAAAGAGATGGAAAAAAACAAATTCTTTGACAAGGGCTCTGTTCTTTCACTGAAGACAGCCAGTATGGTCTTCATAGGCCCAACCAAAACATGTCACATTACCCCCAAGGACATCATTCTATTCATCCTGCTTGTGGTGCCGACCTGGACAGAAAGATGTGGCTCCCTGAGGGCGAGGAAGGTAAATAAGATGATCTTAATTTGGTAACTAGCTAATGTCTGAAGTTCTAATTTTATAGCTTTCCAGGGTGAGCACTATTTTGTGGTCTGAGATTGTCTGGAATATTATTTGCTAACCCAAGCCACCATCATTTACCTAAGCCTGCATGCATTCCTGTTCTTTAAAAGTTCTGCTGCTCCATGCCCGCATTGGGCTGGCATTTTCCCAGTGAGTTCCCTGATTTTAACCCTCCACTGGGTTGGCCTGTGGTGATGAATATCCTTTCATGGGCCCAGCATGAGATGAAGACAAACACAGTCATGAAATCAGAGCATCAGTCAAGGCAGATCAGTGGCTTCCTAAACTGATTTTTACAAAGTCACAAACGGAAAGCAAGAAAAGTAATTTTCAAACGCTGAATGCTGACTGTTCTCATTTTTTGGTCCAATATTCCTGACTCCAGAGGAGCATCTCTCATTACTCTGACTGGTCAACTTCTCATGCCTCTGCTTCTGACCCCTTTCAGGGCTTGATCCGGTCACTTCATACATGAGGGGCTACGGGGGGTCATGCTGCATTCATCCTGCAGGGTCACCTGACTTCACCCCAACTTCAGCACCTGCCCATTTCCTCAAGGGGGAGACTTTTCAATGAAAGTCTTCTTTGGATGAATGTGAGTGCACCCTCCTAGACTGGCTACACTCTCTGGTTACCGTTTCTATCCATCCATTGATAACATTGCCAAATGCAATTTGCTACCATCTGTGGTTATTAGCCTGGAGAGTTATGATCCTGAATAGTTTTCTTCTTCCTTGGTCTTGTCTTTAACATCAAATCTGTATTAATGGATACCGCAGCAGGTGCTTGGGACAGGTGAGCTGTGGACTTATGGGTTCCCTGGAAACTGGTGATTTGGGAGCTAGAGGCTTTCTGTCCACTCTCATGCTTTTTTTTTTTTTTAGTAAGCCCTCAGATAGTGATGCTGGCACAGGTAGGAGATATATCTGTGTCTACCTATAGCTTTAGAGACGTATTGCAAGGGACTGGCTTATACAATTGTGGGGGCTAGCTAGACATGTCCATGATTTATTAGACAGATCAGCAGTCTGGAACTCTTAGGCAGGGGCTGATGCTGCAGTCCACAATGGAATATCTTCTTCCTCAGGGAAACCCCACTGTTTCTCTTAAGGCCTTTCAATTGATTAGATGGTAGTGGATTAGTCGCTAAGTTGTGTCTGACTCTTGCAACCCCATGGACTGTAGCCCTCTGTCCATGGGATTTCCCAGGCAAGAATACTGGAGTGGGTTGCCATTCCTTTCTCCAGGTGATCTTTCTGAACCAGGAATCGAACCTGGGTCTCCTGCAGTGCAGGCAGATTCTTTACTGACTGAGTCACCAAGGAAGCCTTGATTAGATGAGGCCCATTCAAATTATTGAGAAGAATCTCCTTAAAGTCAATAGATGTTAACTATCATAACAGCAAAACCTAGATTGAATTGGTGTTTGATTGAATAAGGGTGCTATAGCTTAGCCAAGTTGATGCAGTCCCTATTAACTTATCTGTGGCAGGAAAGGCAAACACATAACCAGAATATGTGTTGATTCCAGTCAAGATTAATTGCTGCTGCATCCAGAGTAGAAGGAATCCAGTGTGGTCAACCTGTTATCAAATGGCTAGTTGATTTCTCTGGGGAATGGTAGTGCTGTATCTGTACCACGGCATTGGCCTCTTAGAGAGAGTTGGTTGGCAGTAACTAGATGAATCTTGGTGATTGGAAGTCCATGCTAGTTGGACCAGTTACAACTTCTATTCCCTGTTCTCATGGATCTCCATTCATGTGCCCACTGGGTGAGCACTGGATTGATCAATGTTAATGGTTAATGTCAACTGGCCCAACAATTTGTTCTACCTGGCATGTAGGGTGTAGACATGGTGGATGTCTGGGATAGTCCTTAATGTGTATTGTGAAGATCTTCACACTTCACGCCCATTCCCTTAGGTCCATCTGCATATTTCTTTACCATGCTTCTTTGTTCCTGATCATCCAAACTTTATTTCTCAAGCCCCTGGACAACTAGTCAGACCATTTGCGCCTGTGCATGTCTCTGGCATATTCTTACCTCAGGCTGCTCCTTTTTCCACATGCAATGGACGTTGGCATGGGTGGCCAAAGCTCTGCCCATGGAGGAGTCTCCCTCATTGCTCTTCCTCAGGATGACCCAGAGAGGGTGATGATGTAACACTAATCTTTCCCAGAGTGTGTCCAGCAAGCCAAACCCTCTGTGAACCAAACTTTTCCTTCAAATGATCATAGAGGGCCCCTCACCCCTGGCTCCACGTATCCACCACACATGGATAACTAGAAGAGAAGTACCCATGTGGTGGGAGACATGGGGGTTTGGGCCACACTTGTGTAGCTTATTTGTATGTTTTACTTGTGCCCTCTGTCTTTGCTCAAGTTCAACCCTGAATATATTCCTTACATCTTAGAGTGCTGCTCAGCCCACCTGACCTTGTGAGTTGGTGAACCTGACAGACTTGAGCTCAGGATGGGAAGTTCTGGCTGCATGAACACTGATAGCTGAGGTCAGGTGTTCTGTTTATACCAGGGTTCAGTGGCATTCCAGAAGCTGTTTTGCAGAAAGTTTATAATGATCTTATGCAAATAGAATAGATCTGCTCCAGATCCCATAAGGAAAGTGTTAGTCATTCAGTTGTGTCCAACTCTTTGTGACCTCATGGACTGTAGCCCGCCTCTGTCCATGGGAATTTTCCAGGCAAGAAGACCCCATGTCTATGTAATTCTCCTATTTGGGCTTGCTATAAATGCCACAT